AACTTCCAAAGCTCACCATGATTCTATTTTAATAGATTATTGTTTAGAATCTAATAACAATGTTTTCCAAAATCCCAATACAGAAAATAAGTCACCGCCACCAGAAATGAAACTACATGAACCTACAAAAACACGTACTGCTCCAAGATCTATTCTAAAAAGCAGCAATCCGCATGTGTATACTACCCATTTAACACCGAATAGTGATAAATCCATGCACTCTTCCATGTCAAACTTTCCAAGACCTTCACTTTCACCAACTAATCCTACAAGTCCGACACGCTCATTGTCACCACAATCATCATCATCTCGAATGAATATGCAATTTCAATACAAGATAGAACAGCAGAATAACTCGGTTACTCAACCATTGATACAAAAACCAACTAATTTAAATACTCAGAATCTGCCAATCAACACGGAATATCAAAGGTCTCCTGTACAATATACAGCTTCTCCCGTACAATGTACAGCTTCTCCAGTACAGTATACTAATGATGCATTGCTACCTATGCAATATCCAAATCAAGTTGCTCCTCAACGGCCACATACTCAGAATCAAAATTCGCCCACGCATTATTCAAATCATGCTGCACCACGCTCTCCACACTCCCCACACTCTCCACATTCTCCATACTTTCGGTATCCAAATTCTCCAACTCAACCTTTTAAACGCCAAAACTCTTCTGAATCTTCAAATTCTCGGGATTACTCTCCTGAAATCCCCTCAACTCCAACTTTCAGAAGACAAAACTCTGCTGAATCTTCGAATACGCAAAATTATCAAAGTTACTCTCCTGAAATCACAATAACTCCAATTTCCAAGCGGCAAGATTCATCTGATTCTTCAAGCACCCAAAATTCTCAAGGACACTCTCCAAGATCGAATATTGATTCTGCGCCAGAACCTCAATATCAAGCAAAATTAATGCATAGAGTGAAAAGCCTACGCTCTGCAACTTCGCCACAAAATGTTGATGGGCTAGAATCTATGAGGAAACCAACTACTATAGATGATTATGTATCACAAGCGATTAGATATCATGAAAATGATCAACTTGAGAAATCTACTGAATATTTTCGTATTGCTGCTAAACAGAATAACACTATAGGAATGATTTTTTATGGTCTTGCTCTTAGACATGGATGGGTAATTACGAAACGAATCTAATCCATACAAAATAATTTCTTGTTTCTCTTTATAAAATAATGCCGGAAGTTGTTTTTTGTTTTTTTTTAAACCAAAAGAAAATTATATATTACGTCGGCTTATGAAATCAAAAAAATTAGTTTTGTATGGTTTAACTGCGAACTTAAAAAAAAATAATAATAATAACATTAACAAATGTTCCCTTAATTTTTAGGGATGCAAAATGGATACATCAAGAGGATTCAAATATCTACAAAAGGCTGCTGATTCTGCGTCAGAAATGTTAAAAAACATTGATGATTCGGCCAATTCGCAAATACTTAAAACTGGTCTGGTATTGGCCATTTATGAATTGGGTATGTGCTATAAACATGGTTGGGGTGTTCCAAAAGATAAGGTTAAGGCTGCTCATTATTATAAGATGGCTGCTGATCAGGTAATTTTTATTTTTCTGTCTTGTTAAAAGTTAAATTGGTAATATTAATTTCCTATGAAAATTAGGGGGATCCGGATGCACAAAATGATATCGCCCATTGCTATTATAAGGGTGAAGGCGTGAAAAAGGATATGAAAACTGGTACGTTCATGTGTTAAACTCCTGTTTTATTATTATTATTATTATTATTATTATATTCATATTATATATATTTATTTTTATATTTTTTGTTATAGCTGCAAAATATTATAGAATGGCTGATAAACAAGGTTATGGTACAATGGGCAATTCTTGGATCTTTAAAGAAAAATACAATGATTGACTGCAACAAGTTTTGTTATAATTTTTGACTTTACAATGCAGTGATCCGAATTGAAAAAATTTTTCTAATCAACTAGTTGGACAAACTTTTATTAATTTTATATAATCACTTGATTTACTGAATTAATTTAATTTAATTTCTAAAGTTTATTATTAAGTAAACACTACTCAACAATTAGCTGCTTCGAAAATTTAAATCGATTAATCGCCAACTTGGCCAACTTTTATATTAATCGATTTTCGATTCGTATCACTACTAAAAAAAATGTTGGGCGCGGATGATTCGCTGGTTTAACCTTGACCCGAAAGTTGTTTTCATTTCATTTTTGGATGTACATAGCTACATAATTATTCGTTTCATTTTTAATCTGATGATGAAAAACACTTAGATTTATAGATGTAACATATAATACACTTTAGGAGTCTATTGTTATCGATATTCATCCCTTTCAACAATATTATTTAATTATTCATCGATTATACATTATTAATTTAGTTGTTAAATATTTTGAAAATATTTGTAAATTAACTACTTCATTCTTTACAACAGCTTTCTTAGAATCTGTTTTTTTTTTTTTTTTTTTATTCTATTGATACAAAAAGAGATACTATTATTATCATAGTTCTCGATTTGAAATTATATGTAATTTGAAAATATAAAGAAATTTAATCTCTTATAAGGAGATATTATACAATGTCAACAACTTACGTACGTCGCATTATAACGATTATTTGCTAAGTTGATAAAGTGAACGAACGTGCCATCTCACATCTTTTTTTCTGTCAATATCAATATTGATATTTAATGAAAATTTTCTGTTCAAGCAATATAATTAACATTACAATGACGAATAATAAATTTGTTTATTTAAAAGTAAATCTTGCGATACAAAGAGATTTACCCTTTGTTTTTAATTTTTTCTTTTAATTTTTTATGTTTCAGTTTAGATTTAGCAGGTTTAGACTTGGCAGATTTAAGCTTGGAAGATTTAGACTCGGCAGACTTGGATTCCACGGACTCGGCAGACTTAGATTCCACGGACTCAGCAGACTTAGATTCCACGGATGCTGAGTTCACGGATTTTTGATTATCAGTAGTTTTTTTTCGCTTCATAAAAGCTTCCTGAACAAATATCAAATAATTAAGGAATACTATGTTAATAAATCATTTAACAAATAACGTAGTAAGAAATTATAAAATACATACATAGCCAGGAAATTCATAATCTATCCCACATTCTTCTAATCTTTTTCGTTTTTTATTTTCTTTTTTTAATAAATTATCAATTTGTTTTTTCTGTTCTTCCAGAGTTTTTTTTCTATTATGTTTCATCATAATTTCTTTTCTATAAGGTTTTGGTTTAAACTCTTTATTTGCTCCAATCCACAACATTGGGTTAATTTTTTCTTCTGGCACAACTTTACCTAAAAGCAAATATATATATATATATATCATTAAATAAATTTTATTTGAAAATTTCATTAAAAAAAAAAGATTACATACAACGAAGTAGGCGATTACATAAAGGATAATTATCCATTGTTTCGGCCGCAATTTGTGCAACTTCATCACAAGCGAATTCAATGAATGCAAAGTGCTTTGACTTTCCAGTCTAGTTTGATGTTAAAAAAAAAAAATTTGTCAGTTAGCAGTTATCGAAATTTATTTAAAAAAAAAAAAAAATTTAAATTAAATTAAACCTTCTTATTTCGATACAATTTCAAACGTGTCACTGTACCAAATTGACTAAAGTATGATTTCATTTCATTTTCGTAAAAGCCATGGGGTATCCTACTGAGGTAAAT